CCTCATCTTAACTTGGATTTTTAAGGTCCTTAGTCATGACTGCAAAAGAAGAGCTCACATGGGGTTTTCCTTTTGTTGAACATACACTGGACATTGTAAGTATCAGGAAGAGGAGGAATAAAATAAAATCAAAAAGGAGGAGTAAGAACACAAAAAGGGGAAAAGAAAGGGGAGAAGAGAGAAACATAGTGGTAGCAAAGGAAGAATTGTCCAAAGACCAAAGGCTTTGTCTGATGACAGAAGAGAAAAAGCAGTTTTCTCAATCTTCCTGTCTTATTTACAGTTCTTAACCCTCCAACTTCTGTAGAGAAGTAGTTTTTTAAAAATCTCAGTAACATTAAACCTACTGTTTTCTAGTTTTGGGGACACAGAGAAAACCATGAACATGTAAGGGTAGTCCCAGAAGTTAAAGTCTGCCTATGCTACTTACTGCTGTTCAGTGCAGAAATGAACAAATCCAGACATGGTCTGGACAGTTACGCTGCAGCTGTACAGGAGGCATGAGCCTGGGCTGTGCTCTGCACTCCGGCACCAATCTGTCCCCCAATAGTATCCTCATACCATCCTGAAGTCTGCTAGGTAGGCCAGAAAGCAAGTGAAAAACACTGACAGTGTTGTATTTTAAAAAGTCTCTGTAATTGACAGCTGACTCAGGGCTCAAAATTATCTACCTCATCAACTAAGGGCATAAATAGCATTGAGCATGTTCTCCTTTCCAGTGATGTATAACCCTTACAGCATCCCTCACTGTAGATGTATCGCTGCCTACAAGAGAATCTTCACAATAATCTAATCTAACCCATTACTGTTGTCCTCATTTTACAGGAGGGAAGAGGTCATAAATATATAACTTACAACCATTGCAAAGTTCAATGTCAATGTCAGAATTTAAGGCTTCTTGTCTCTGAGGACTGTGCTCACATCTCAACAATATTTATACCAGAGAGAGAAGGTTCTTTTTTTACTTGAAATAAGGTGTCTCAGAGTATCATAGAAACAAAAATATATTTTAAATAGAATTTGTAATTCTAGCCAAACATTTTAAGAGATGTAAATTGCAACAAGTTCTGCAACAGAAAGTTTTCTGTGGTCCAACGCTTTCTGGTAATTTGAGAAAAAAAAAAAGAATCTGAGTAGAAAATCTGACCATTTCTGTAAGAAAATAACCACTTTGACCCAATTCATTTTTTTGGAGAAAAAAAAAAATACAACCATGACCCCAAAACCCCCCATTTAAAGTCTTTTATTTTCACTCAGATAGAAAATAAATACAAATTTGAAACCTTGATAGTTATTTTAAAGTGGAATTGAAGGCCTTCGGCCAGCTCTCTTTACCTCTTGAAATCACTTTGTGACACATATCAAAGAGTTTGGCCACCCCTGATATATGTACATATTAGAGTGTGCACTCAGTGTTTGAAATACAGTGTATGAAATTGCTCACAGCACATTAAGAATGCTCAGCAATGTGCAATTTTAGGGTCGCACTTTATGCTGTAAGACACACTGTGCTCTTAGCAATCTTTTTTCTCACTAAGCACACATTATTTGAGTTTTCTAGTTGAGCATACACCTAAACGAATTTTTACTTTTTTAAAAGAGGACCATAAATTACCATCAAAGAATGGGGTCTCAAATCAGCTGTTATTTGAAGACTGTCTGCTTCTTCTGAAAGACCTATTATCATCCTTACATCCATATTCTTTGTAGCAAAGCACAAATCCAGAGAATATAAAACCTACAAGTCCAATTAAAAAGGCATTCCGTACAAATTGCACATTGAAGGTAGTGTGGGTGTTTTAAACAAAATTTTGTCCTCTCACAGGGTTTTTGTGTGAACTTTCTTAATTTCCCTAGTTTATTTTCCTTTTCAAAGACTTTCAAAGATGACTGCTTTTCATCCCTTTTTCCCAACACAAAATAGTGGTAGCTGCCTCCACTTTACTACATTCTCTCTTTCACGTTTTCCACAGGGGTTGATCCACCTGTCCCTTAAAAGGGGGTAAAAAACAGCTCTGGGGAGTGCCTGTCAAATAAGAAGGTTGCACAGTGATGTGACACTGTGTGTATGTGTGTGTGTGAGAGAGAGAAATCAAATAAAATTCAGAGCTGAAAAAATAATTCATTGTATGTAGCACACAAGAAAAATCATGATAAAGTCCTGAGCTAACTCACATAGTGCTTTCAGGAATCAGAAAAATGACACTGTCAAAACACAACATTAGTTTTCAGAAGCCTCGAGGCAAAATTTTATTTATTTAAAGTTAGCTCCTATTTTAATAACAAAAAAGTGGCAGCATATTCTACATCAAAGAAAAAACTTTTCCTAATGTTTCCATTCCTCTTGTGAAGTACCAGAGCTGAAGTAGTGGAGCTGTCTTTCTCTAAATAATTATGTGTGGCAGGATCTCAACCTGAGAAAGCTTTTTGTCTGCACTGGGGACTGTGGCATAAAGAGAATCGCATTTGGCTTGCCTAATCTGAGCAGCAATATGAGATATTCTGACTTTTAGTATTTAAATAGTTAGCTTTAAACAAGATCCGTAACAATGAAAGGCAAGTCCTGAATCAACATCTTGGTGCACTGTAGTGCCCTGATGTAGGAGGAGTACAAATGAGAAGCACATTCATGGGCTACAACTCTCCAGTCAAGACCTCTCAGCCACATGTTCCTTGTGGCAGTGACCAGGAGAAATGTCCCCTAACAGCAGGATGGCACACAGCTGGTGCCTCCTCTTGCATATTACTCTTGTTTCAGGCATCCTCACCTTCAGATGCCAGACCAAAGCACACTGTTAGAGTAGTGCCAGACCAAAGCATTTACCATTTTATACCTTGTTGAAAGGGTGAGAGATGTGTTTTAAAGTTCACTTTTGGATCTCTTTCCTGGAAACTCTATTCCTCTTTGTTCTTCATACATTAATCTTTTTTAGTTGCAACTAGCAATAGCGAGAAGGCAGTCCAGGGCCCATTCCTTCAAAGCCAATCTATAAATAAAGAATAAACCCCTTAGGTCCCTAAACCTGTTTTTTGCCTTTTTAGCTTCCCCACAGGTTCCTAATAATACCATTCCTTTCCTACTGACTTCTTGTCTATGTTTCCTTTCTATTATTTCATATCATTTAACACCTCCTGCTTTGAACCTTAACAGATCCAGCTCTAAGCTGTGGAAATTTGGTTCAGTTACAAAAGGCTCTACATTTGCATGTATCTGGGTCTTGCTGCAGAACGGTTGGGTCTGTGTGGGAGTAGGACTGAACTTTGTTGCAACGAGATAACTCTTACATCTGAGAAATATATTTCTTCCTTCTGGACCCCTGTTCTCCTATAAGCAACAAAATAAACTACTGTCAAGGCAGCTACCAACAGAACTATGGGAATCAGAGACAGCGAAGCAATGCTTGCACGAGCTTGCAATCCTAATGCAATGCCGCAACTTCTATCTCAGACAAACGTCTTTCTTATAAAGCAGGGGTGTGGCAATAATATGATGTACCAAGGATGGGGTCACAGAGTACTGTCAACAGCAGTCGGTAGCAGGAGTTGCAGAAGGAGAATATAGACTGCTGCCTGACAGAGCCCAGAAGAGGGATTTTTCCCCCTCTATTATGGCAAAATCTAAAGTGGAACAAATCTTCTCATGAGTAACAGAAAGTAGTAACTGCCTGGTGATGTGGCTTTGAGGTTCAAGCCTCTCTGTGGTAACTGTGCTTCTGCCAAAACAAATACCCCTTCTCAGGGGACTGCGGAGAGCGGAGGAGCTCTTCTCCCAGCAGCGTAATGGCAGAGACCTGCCTACATTCCCGCTGTGCAGAGGAGGCCACCAGTGTGTGCGTGGCTGTCCCAGCCATGGGCCAAGCAAATTTTATGTAATGGACTTGTAAAGCACTTAAGGATCATCGGGGATGAATCATGCTGTAAAATGTATCATTAGTGTTACTAGATGCATTATAGACTTCTCCTGTGATCTGAGACTGCTGCAGGCAGTGTGCTGGGAGAAAAGCTCTCCAGATTGTGCTCATGCAAATCGCTATCTGTGATCACATTCATTCTGGTTCCCACTACAACATTACTTTCACACTGTTGTGTGCTGCTCACTCGGTCTAAACTTTTTGTTATTGCAGGTTGTAAGACTACAACATAGCATCTCTTTGCCAACACCTTTACAAGGGTGAGAAAACATACAAATCTGGTAGAAAACTAATGGACATGCTGGAACTTACTCAGGAAAGGGGTGGCATGATCCTAACGTATGCCTCCTGACCCTGCTGTCCCCTAACAGGTTACTAAATCAGGGCAGCTGTCTGTTTATCAGGGCATTTAGTTCAGTTTATCTTTTTGTGATGAAACAATATTTCCTTCTGAACTGGAGATCTGCATAATTTAGAGAAGAGCTGGAATTTCTGAAAGCTGGGAAAAGCAAAAGTGAAATCTGACTTGTTCTGAGAACATCCTGTTCTCACCGTGGACAAGTAAGTCTTGGCAACTGGGTTAAACTATGCAAACAGTATTTGAAAATTATTTAGGATTAAATGATACAATCAAAAAATAACACTATAATAGGAAATGGAGGATGAGCAGACATATCCAAGAAAAGGTTTTCAAACATTGCAAATGAAATGGAGAGTCAAGGCAATGACAAGGAGACTGCTGCCAGTGACATATCCTGTGAGAAGATCCTTAGAACAACCCGACTCTGGGAATGTGGGGAAAAAACAGACAGTGCTCTAAAAAATGAGAAAAGCAGGAAACCACAGGCAAATCCTAGCCATGAATTAATCCAACAGGAGTCAAAGCCAAGAAATTGTGAGCAGTGAGTCATCAGTAAAAGGGCACTTGCATGTAACATACGGGTTCAGTTCACAGGTACCCAGTCTGTTTTTTAAAATTAAAATTTAAAATATGTCAAAAATATTCAGTGTTCAGATGAAAGTTGAAAAAAAGAAGCTTTCAAGATCTCAAGTCTGTATTTTGAATGTTTGGCTAATACATCAACACAGGCTGACTTGCCAAAAATATTAAAATACAACTAAAGAGATCATAAATTAGTAAATTGTCAAGTATTCTTAATATGTATTCCCAATGCCAGACATTTATAATAGTAAAAACAGGTTACTTATTATAAGTGCCAGTTAGTACTCTGAGAACTCAGGATAGTTTTACTTTAACATACAAAATAAACCAGGTTTGCTTCAGCAAACCCATCCTGAAAGAAGTAACAAAGATTTAACTTGGACACATGAAAAGTTTCTGTATTTTAGGATTTCAGTGTTCATTTAGAGAACTATTATACCATGCAGTACAAATCTTTTATTAAATCAATGCATTCATTTATTTGAAATAAAAGTTTTATTCAATCACTGTATTTTGATAGACTAGACTACTGCACATTGACAGGAGATAATGGATTGAACAGGATGTCCTTGAAGAAGAGCTGCTTCAGATCACCTCTCTAATACTCAGGAGACATCCTGCTTCCAATGCCCATCAGACTTCTGAAGGATAAGAGGAAAGATGCACCCATGCTATATGGTATAACAAATCAGCTCCTGAATCACCTAACTATAAAACTCACAGGGAAAAAAATTAAATAATGTCTGCTTAAAATATCTCAATGTCATTTTAAAATCTATTTAGGAAGATCAGCTCCGGTGCCTTTATAGCAGCTTAGCCATGTGCATTGTAAAGGCTCACTGGTACTGTAGCCATCACTGGGTTTTGAAATGAGTAAAACGCAAAGTTATTAAATCAGTTTTGGTCTTGCAGTCCCATTTGGTCAGTTCACTTTAACATGCTTCAAGCAATTAAAGAAATTGATATACAGATTTTTTAAAGGAGGCAGGAAACAAAATTTCACTGACACAGAGAACTATAAAAATACTTAGAATTATTTTGGAAAAAAAAATAAAAAAGATGTATAAGCCATATTCTAACACTTGTTACAGCAGAGAAAGGAAAAATTTAAACCTCAGGTTACATTTTAAAAGATATTTTCCAACCTATTACATATGTCTTCTGAGTGCTTGAACCTAGATCAGCCAACTCTTTGTGTCATAATATACATACAAAACATTTTCCTGCAGTCTTAGTAAAAATCAGAGAAACAGAAAGCATTTGTGTATATATATGAAGTCCTCAAAACCAGTGCCTTAGCACAGTATGTCAATTTATAGTCTCAAGATTAAAACCTGCTGGGGTAAACACTCAGCAAAGCTAGTCATGAAAAAAACCCCAACAAACCCTGCATCTATAAATTTTGAGTATTAGATGTCGTTTCCTCTTTTCACTAAAACACATTGTGTGTGTGTGCATGTGTGCACACCCATCTCCCCACCTCCCATCTTCAGCTAGCACTTTTGTTACAAAGTGAACAAGAGCTCTGTGAAATAACTTATTCACAGTAGGATCCAGTAATTATGATGCAAGTATGGCAGCATAAGCCAGATAAAATGTTAATTCTATCACAAAAGTCTTAGGTCTCTATATGGAGCAGCACTTTACTCACCTACCTTGCCTATCAAATGTTAAACAAATTGCATTGTTCGTACTTAAAACACCGCAGACCCAGCTTACAGTTTTAGTTATTCACACCACTTAGAAGCTGTATGAAGCCTCTCAAGGAGAAAAAGTCAGCAAGCTATTATTTTTTAGCTATTCACAAAGTAAACCCATTGAAGTTCTAGTTGTCTAAAAAACATAAAAAGGTTTGCTTTCTGGTGAGAAAAAAAAAAATGATCACACTGTTTTTCAGACCAATGTATTCTCTTACCATTTTTCAATACACCTCTGCTGGGGAAAAGGAGGATAGTTTGAGCCATGAATCTTGCAGGAAAACTTCCAGGAAAAGCTGGTTTCTTTCGGAGCAAATAACCTACCACCTTAAAAACACACTACAGTACAAATGCCAAGATCAACATGTTTAGGTATCTTTTTTAAAGTATGAAAAAAATGACTGCTACAAGAGACACAGTCAAACACACCATCTATTTGGCTTCCATATGTATTGATGAAACATTAAGCTTCATCCTCATCTCTGCTTCAGTCCAGCTTGTGTTTCTGGTCTGTGGACACTTTACACTGAGAGAATGAAAATGCTGGTATTTCGAGGGAGAAGTAAGAAAATAATTTGGCCTTCTAAAAGAGTAGAATTCAAACAAAACAGACACATCCAGGTATTAAAAAGTTATTTTCTGATCATAGGAAAGAACAAGAATCGAATATGTTTAAGTCTAGCCTAAAAATGATACTGAATGCTAATGAACTAATGTATTGTTAATGGATTCTTCCCTTTTTTCTCAAGAAATTTAATTTAATGCATCCATGTGTTTATACACTGACACATAAAAAGCTCTTTGCCTTTTCCCTTCCAAAAATACTTGACTAACTGTGAGAAAAGTAATTCTTACTAATGAAGATGTCAGCTCTGCTACATTACTTGATGTAATAGTAAGGAAAACAACATTTAACAGTCTCTATTTTCAAGTAATCATCAGTATAGTATAGTATGCTGGACATACAAACTGTATCTAACAGAGGAAGATCCTCTTATGGTCACTGGTTTTGTTTCAGCTGCTGCCCAGGTCAAATCATGTAGTGGGTAAAGAAATGAAACTGGAGTGCTAAGTCCACGTCTTAGTCACCCCAATGTAAACACACTGCCATGCAGTTGACTTTTATGGAAGTATCTCAGATATATGCTGGAGTGCTGGTCACGTAGCTCCGGTGCTCACACACTGGAAGAGAAACAGTGGGAACATATCGATATAGAACATAGGCAGGGCAAGGGTTTGATACTCTTTATTGAAGGTTTAATTTTATAGCCTTTGTCTGAAAATAAGATTTCTCTACAGTGCCTTACTGCCTCAAGCAGAGTCCAAAAGGCTTTCTCTCCTATACTGATCTTATATCATGTTATGAGTAAAATATCAGTTGCAATGAAATCGATAAGATCTTCACCTGTGTGCCTGAGCCTGTTTTAATGAAAGCAGTAGTAAAACTCCTGTTGATTTTCTAGAGAAGACTGAAGCCCTGGGGAATACAGGTAGCTCTTTAATAAGAGCTGTCTACCAGATGTAAAGCATGATGATACCCACTATTGCCTCAGAAAGCAGGATGGCAAATCCTACAGTCTGTCCATCATCTCCATTATTTGCTTTGGTAAAATGTGCAGCTTGAAAATCTCCCTGAATAATTCTTCACTGGTTCAAGAAAAGGGTTAAAATCTCACCAAATTAAGGTCTTCATGAGTTGGCCTGAAGTCAGTGAATTCAACATAAAATTGAAAGGAATCAAGCCTTTAAAACAGTATTGGAGCTAATGTTCTGGTTTTACCACCATCCAAAAGATGTGAAGTTATAATCAGCTTTTTGTAACCAGGCCTAAATATATCAAACAAAAGAACCGATGTGATCAGAGTAACTGACATCTCCCAAGAGCCACCTGCTGTTACCAGAACATATCTAAAAATAAGTGAGAAAAAAGCACAATATTTTGAAAAGAAACCTTTATTGTTCATACAAAGCTGATTCTGTCACATATCATGAGGCATCATTAAAAAGCTAAATATGACTTTGCTTGAATCAAACAATATTGCTTAATGAAAGTATCCAACACAGTTATGATCACTTCTTTTCTTTGTTCTCTCCTGGATGGAAAGTGTGTTTTGATATCAACTCACCTCTTTTGAACGGCTAGCTTAGCCAGCACATTACATGCATAACTTCCTTGCCAGGTAAGTCCACCACAGGTACTAAAATCAGAGCTGGGGTCTTCTTGCCCAAATATTTTTCAAGGTATTCTTGCAGTCCTAAAATAGAAACAAAACAATTAATGAATCCTCTTTGTCTCATTTTTTATTGTGTCCTACCTCTGGAAAATGACTTCTAAAGACATTTTTGGAAATGATTGTGGAGTAGCAATTAACAAAAGCAAGGGAAATGCAACTCTAAATTTTCACTTTATGTAGAAGGAAGAATCATCATCTCCCACCTCCTTGTCGACTAATTTGAGATTAACTTTACATGTTGCCTAAGGCCATAAAATTCAGCAAAACAGTTAAAAGCATGTTTCTCAACCTTGAGTGAGTGAGTGGTCTGTTGATTACAGATATAGCAAGCTGAAACCAAGTGCAGGTAGTAAAAATAACTAAAGGCCAGTTGAAATTCAGTTCTTTGTCATTTTTGATATTTGGATGATCAGCACGTAGTTGTCTGTAAACGAAATTCTGCTCTCAGGTCCCACTGTGGTGCATCAGTCTGCTAGAAGATAAAGTGGGCCATTTTTTAAAACATTATGAACATGATTTCCATTTGAAATCAATGGAAGTATGCTGCGCTGAAGATATAACGGAGGAAGTCCAGGGATGGCAACATATATGACTGCATATCTAGAATTATAGAGAGATTCAAGCTGCTAAAAATACAGAATCTGGCTATAAAGAGCTCTAAAGGGATTGGTATGTGTGGCAGAAGTTTGTAAATTTAAGACCATTATGGGAACAGCATTAATAATGGAGAAGATCTAATTAAGAGAATATGGACAACAAAAGAATAGAAAATTTAAACTCAGCATCAAGACATTTCTGGTCATGTTGCTGCCTCAGGGGACATGCTACAAATCCAGCCGCACAGAACCCTTAAAGCAGACTACCAAAACGCCTCCAAATGACCCTACAAAAGACTAATGGTGAGGTATGACCTGCACGGGTTCTGGTTTCAATAAGTTATTTCTGTCTGCAGCTTCTGTGATTATGGCAGTTCTTTCTAACACTAAACAATCTTGGCTAGAGACGGTGTAAAGAAGGCAGAACCTGAAGACTGTCAGAGCTTTTCTTCTTGGCATCACTGCCCGTGAAACTGTGAATAGGCAGTTCAGTCAAAGTGTTACCTCATCCAGGATAAAACAGGAATTTTTCAATTGTATTGGCTGAAGCCAAAACTCTTCTCCCTTGTTACCTGGCAGCAGTAGCACAAATTAATGTAATAATGGCAATGATACCTACGAAATATTGCAAAGACAGTACCAGTCTTCTGAAATTCTGCTGACTTCCTTTTGTATTAACATCATTGACATCAGAGGTGAAAACACACAAGGGTGAGCCAAAGACCAACAGTCTCCTCAAAGGTCAAAGGACTTCTTCAAGTTGTGTGTAAAAAGGATCATAGTCTATATATTGCTGATATTCAGCAATGACCTGATAATTAAGCATCAGTTAACATTTTAATTCTAAATTTTGACTTTGGGAAACTTTATAGCTAAACTGGCTCAGAAGGCATCAAGTGGAAGTGGGTAAGGGCAAGCAACCTCAAAACCCACTAGTTCCACCCTATTAAAATTACATTTCCTTTTTTCCCTCAATTAAAATTGTGAAAATATAATTTTAGTCTAACTTTTTTTCACAGGCTTAAAAGCTGTGAAACAGTGCTATAAAGCTACCAAAACAAAATCAGGTATTACTTTCAAAGGGAGAATTTGAAAGTGAGGCTATCTGGAAATATAACTCCATTTGTTTCTTTTTTTTGAGGTGGACAAAACAGCCATAAATATTTACAATTGAATGTGCCTTAGCGGACTTGGGTGCCAGCCAGATAGAGCACCTTTCCAAAAGACCACCACCACCTTTTCTATCGCAAGTGCAAACTGCTGCAGCAAAGCCTACACATATAATTGAAATGTGGATAAAAATCTGGGACATACGCCTCTTAAATGTTTTATTATACTTATAAATCAAGTAGTTTGATATGAAAACATTCTACCTTAGATGTGCATTTTTATACATTTAAAAACTGTGGATAAAAGTCTACTCATGCAAATTTCCCCCGAAAAGTGGAGACTGGGTCTTCTAAAACAGTAAAATTGTACTCTAAGGTCCCACAGAAGACAATGTACAATTAATAAATTTGTGGCAGCCTACGTAATCATAGTTGACACAATTCAAAAATTGACAGATATATGTTTTACCTACTATAGTAAGTTACTCTAAATCCTCCAATGCTAACTGTATATTTTTTAATGAAGTGACACTAATAAAGACACAAACTCTATTTTTTTCCCTCAAGCAAATTATGCTTTTAGTAAAATAAGAGCCTCAGTCATGGGTATGAGTGTTTTCTGAAGTATGTAACTGTTTGAATACAAAGATTTCGAAAATTTATTTCCTTTGTATCCCTTATGGAAACGTTTGCTTAGTTGCATGCCATACTTATAAATGTTGATCTTAAAAGTGAAACCAAGTAAAGGACAGAGGGTTACAGTGAGTGTGTTTGTGTGTTTACTGGAGCTTTAACAGCAGCTATATATGATTGATATTGGTCTTAAAGTTATTTAACCTGCCCTGATACAGAATGTTTATTAAAGAAAAATAATTTCCTGTGACAGTCCACATTAATTATTATTACTACATAAAATTTGCTGAAAGCACGCGAGCTTCATCCTGTAAGATGGATCTGTGCTACTCCCAACTGATCAGCAGAGCTTCAGGGCACAGGTTCCATATGGTGTTTCTTTCTGCACCACCGTGCATTTTTGTATTGACCTGGGTAGAGTTGAAGGATATGGACATATCTAAAACTTAAAAATGAACAAAAATAACTCAAAGTCTTCTCTCACCAAAAATTCTGGCATTATAGTCTATTTCTGCCATTCCTCTGTAAGGACAGGATGCTGAGATTAATAGTTCGATGATATCTCACGCTGACTTAGCAGCCATTCCATATAACATAGCACAATCTAACACTGTTAGCTATTGTTTTTAAATGTGCTTTTCGTATGAAATAGATAAAACAATGTCCTGGGAGTCCCTAAAGGGTCATTCCAAATGATTAGGAAGATGATGTTTAAATCTGTGCTGTCATTGGCTTCAGCAGGATTTAGGCAGTATCAGGTGAGGCCACAGAATCCACTTATGCTTCCAAAATCAGGTCCCCATTATTGCTGCCATACTCTTGCGTCACTGGATGTTTGCAGGGGAGGGGTAATCTAATAGCTCCTATTGCAAAGGAAAATGGTAACACAAAGGAAGATCACATTTAGCCCAGTACATAAAAAATCACTTTCATATTACAACTACTATCTTTCCTTCACTTTTTAACCAAAAGATATTGTTACATTGCTTAGAGCAGGTTTTTAAATCCCTGAGCTAATAAAGCTCCATTGCTTCAGCTGCAGAGATCTGACATACAGCATGTACTTTGAAAAGATGCGTCACAGGGGATCAGGTTCCTAACAGTTGACTAAGAGTTCCAGTCCCAAAAGATGTGCCCCTGGTGTGCAGAACACTTAACCCTTCGACCAGTACCAACATGACTATTCACAAATTATTGATGTCCCTAAATCCCTGGCAGATTGCAGACAGTTCTTGTCTCCCTTGAAGCCAAAGCATATGGTCGCTAATGAGATGGATTAAAAAATACATATACACATTCAGGGCTTTGCCACATGAATGTAAAGCCACAGAAATGGTAGAAGGTGATTGAGCTGGACTGAACATGTCAAATACATGATTAGCCTCTTGTTATGGATCATTTCCATTGATCTATATGCAGTTTCACAGCATACTTTAATTAAAGCTGTCTGGAAGAAGCCTCTGCCTTAAATGATCAGGCAGTGCAATGAAAAGGTGAAACACGGGAACTGGAGACCCTCCCTTGTTGCTTAAACATCAAGCTGACTGTGATTTACAACCATAGCAAGGAAGGAAAATCTGCTTTTAAAAAACTATCTGTTTTTACAGTACAGGGTTTTCTCCACACTTTTACTTAATATAAAATGATTTAGTGGAATATATGATTTTAAAACAAAACCTGTACAATTTGCTTGCTTCATTGTAATAAAGACCTTTCTGTCCAAAATAAAAACAAGTCCAGCGAACAAAAATATACTGTTGGAACATCAAAGTGAGTCACTTTGCAAAATGTAATTTTGTGCTGATTTTTGTTGCAGCTGTTAAGATTTTAAATGACAATAAGGTAGACAATTTGCATAGTCCAATACTTGACTTTTCATACTATACTGTATTTTTTTTTTTACTATTCTTGATGACATTACTTCACATTGGTTATATTATATTTCCCTGTTAAGGGACTGCGCTTCCAAAATTGCTCTGACCACAGTAAAAATGGAGGCAACGTCTTGTAAGTAATTGTGTTTCCATTTTGAAAACATGTCAGCTAGATCTTCACAAGTACTAAAAGCCTACCAGTTCCAGGGAAAACTGGCCAAAGATATGCTACTCAATGCTTTTATAAATTTCTTCCAAACTTATAAAACCTAAAGTCAGTCTTGATTTCCACACACACACCCACACCCCCCCCCCCCCATTCATATGCATAAAAAGAGGGAAATCAACAATAACTAAACTTAGGAGGATAGAATGCAACTTGCTTTGGAAGTAAAGCACTGCTGATTATTTATCCTGGTTATTACACTGATTTCCCTTGGTCATTCTGGTTTGGAGTGAGTTACAGTCTGTCTTTGCCTACTTACTTATAATATCAAGATAGTGATGATTTGCATACTGCTAATGGTGATTGGGGTGTAACTGAGTTTTGTTAAGGACTGGTAACAAGGGGAGTTCTGTAGCACTTTTTGGCAGTCCAGATTGGTCACAGCTTTAGAGATGATAAAAGCTCCTTCATGCAATACTGATGATGCACTTCAATCACTCTGGCCTGGGTTATATATCTGAATATGAGTTAACCAGCTGCTCTGAATTGCAGGGGAAGTCTGTTGCCATGATATATGAGACAAATGACCAATATGAACTTGGATAAGGCTGTGAAACAGCTTTAAATCTGTGATTATGTAAGA